CTAGATGCTGCTGGAACAAAACAAAAAGAGAGAGAAAAAGAAGGGGGTCGAGCATCCCTCATCCTAGACAGGCTGAAGAGGGCGGAAGCGACAGGAGGAGCAGCGAATGGGCGCGCGAGCCGAGCCGAGCCAGCTGCTAGGAGACCGGCAAGGTGCGGGTGCGCGCGTGCTCGCGCCTGTTGTGTGAAGGTGGGGGAGGACTAGCCATCCCCGCGCGCCTTGCTTGCCCTTGGAGGTACCACGGTCGCCAAGAGAGGAAAGGTTTCCTTTCGCCGAGAGAAGGGGGAAAAACATGACGCAGGGAAAGGTAGGTTGTGAGTGGGATCTGGGAAGCCGGGAGGGGGGGGACGGACCCTCGAGTCGGCTTTTGCAAGGGCAGACGTATAAGGAGGTGGATCCAACCGTGATGGTTAATAATGCATGCACCATGGAGAGGTCTTAGATCATATGGCTTGGTCCACGAGTCAGACATGGTGTCAGCTGCCTATTCAAATAAGATCAAATACTTCAAATTGTTATGTTTGTGTGTGATACGCAAATGTGCAATACAGCTAATACTTCTGGATGCATGGGTGCATCTATATGCATAGGTAGATACAGGTGCATGTTTATGTGTATATATTTTACACAGAGAAATATGCAGCACGAAACACCTGTCTCAGAGATGAGAGAAAAGGTCCCTTGTTGTTTGTCACTACAGGGCGAATGATGGCCTCAGTCACATCTCAGAACATTCCTCTCTAGGGGTTTTGGACTTCCCCCAGCCTTGAAGACTAAGATCTTGGATAACCAGAAACCATCATGATCTTATGCATCCAGGAGTTAAACTGTAGGATGCAGTTTCATCCTCCCACCCAGCTTGGCCTTTCCCCCCCCCCCAAGCTCTGAGAAGTCAGTTGCCATGGAAGAGGTAGTCATGACACTGGATCCTTTTCTTTAAAATTTTGAATAAGTATCTAGGTCCTTAGGGTTCTGTGAAATTTCAGGACCCAAATATTATCATCAGCTCAAGGACTCTCTAGTGATGTAAATCTACGGTGGTGTAAATTCTGATGGTCATGGTTTAGGTTATCAATTCCATCGTCCTAGGCCTCAACTGTATCCAAACATATGGGATTATGTAACCAAGAGATGGTTTCTCCTAAAGACTTTGCTTGTAGAACAGGACATGCCCAGGGGGTGTTGACGTTGAGTGATGAGATTATATCTCTACCTGTCACTCCAAGGAAGACAGGAGAGCTATGAAATGCTTTCTCATCTGGATATATCAGCTGGAAAATTAATATGGAAAGAGATCCTGCCCCCCCCCCGCTCCGTAACCCACTCTACCCAATATTCTCCCACTAGACTATCTCTTACTTTAGGAACTGTTTCTTTTGAATTAGGTCATCTCAATCCAAGTGACACCACACTGGTATAATTCCAAGATTAACTCCTTGTAGTTCTCCTTTGAAAATTCCGCGTGCGTGTGTATGAGAGACAGAGTGATTAGCTGCTGATTTGTTTGCATTATTGCTGTCATGTACTGAGTTGTTATAATCCTTGCAGCATTTGTTTGTATGGTGGCTTCAAATGGCTGTTAGGAGGTTCTTGCTAGCCAGGTTTCAGTTGCAATGTTATTTAGTAGCTGCTGAATGTTGGATAATAAAGGTACTGTATACATTCTAGGGCCATAGTTTTACTGGACCAACTTATGGGCCACAAAAATCTGCAAGATTCTCTGATATCTTCATTAGGTTACAAAAATACAGGTAACAAAAAGACAAGAGTGTATGAGAGAGGTTTGGGGGATGTAGGGGAGCGACAAAGACCGACAGTGTTGAAGTCATAAAGTTCTCATGTTCATGCCTTGAAAAGAAATGGGAAAGAGGGGTGAGTACAAATATCCCTTCCTGCAATTCATTTTAAGATTAGAAGCATGCAGACTTAATGATTTATACATCGCCAGGCTTTTTTTCTGTGCTCTTCCTCACCATCACCTCCTTTTTTTGCAACCTTTTTCCTGACAACAATCTCAATAGTTTGCCATTTCTGACCTTGGAGTTGGTCTAGGAAACATGCTAGCCTTATAAGGATACATACTGGGAATCTTCTTACGACCAAGGCAGACACCTTGGGATAATAAAGCCACCTTGCATAAGAAAGACATCTCAAACCAAGAGGCTCAGAACAAGATTAAGCAGGCTCATATGGATTTAAAACCAGGCTGAGATTAAAAGGACTAGTTTTTTGGCCAGTTGTTTAAGATGGTGCTATCAAGTGATATTTGTTGTGTTTCAAAATATTTCTCCTCCCTCAGGCTCTCCTTGCTATTTACAGTGGGCTGTATGGAGGGAAGAACAGAAGCAGAGACAGAATTGGACGTGCGGTGTCCGAAGTCCACAGATTCAGAGGGCCAGTGTGGCGTAGCAGATAGACTATTGGACTTGAGATCTGGTTTCAAAACCCTGCTTGGCCATAGAAGCTGTTTGGGAGTGTGTGGGAGTAGTAAACCACTCCTTGAATATTTCATGTACCTCAAAAACCCCTGTCAGGGTTGTTAGATGTGGGAAGCAATTAGTGGCACACAAAAGCCATGCTGCTGATTACAGGAAACATTCTGGACAAGAAGGGTGCAATTTAAGTGTCAACTTCTTTGCAAATAAAGTAAAAAAAATTAAAAAATTAAAAATTATAAAGTTGTATGCCAGAGTTCCCTTGTCCAGTGCCTTCAAAAATGGTGGGGAGGGATGGGGAAGAGGCTGTTGCGAATACCCTACAAGCACCCCTCTTTGTTCCTTAAGGCAGTAAGTAGGCTTCGAAGTTCTGCTCCCATCCTCCAGTAGTGTAAGCTAAGATGCAGTCTCTCCCAAGGATGGAAAAGAGGCCTTGTGGTGAGGCCTGTTGCCCAACCTGCTTGAAGCATAGGAAACAAACTGTGCTAAGTAGGTATGTTGATTCCTGTCATCAGTTTGAGTTGGATTAACAACATGAGAAACAACTGTCCTTCCCTGAAATCAGTCAGGAAAGTTGAGTCCATCTCAGGTGTGCAAGTGGCTGTGTGGGTGAATGGCAGGCTCACAGGTAGGTAGGTAGGTAGGTAGGTAGGTAGGTAGGTAGGTAGGTAGGTAGGTAGGTAGGTAGGTAGGTAGGTAGGTAGGTAGGTAGTGAAGCAATACTGCTCATCTAGCAAATCACTACATTGGGTGGTGTACACTGAAGAAAAGGTATATAAATTTTGAAATTACTATAAAACACTAGAATGTCCCATATATAGAGTAGCCACAGTAACTATGACAACCGGAGTGGCTTGTGGTCCGAGCTGAGTGAGTTGCCTGACCTCAGCATTTCAGTCAGGAGCTGCCCATGGGTGCATCAACACCCCGCTTTATATGTGTGATTTTCAAATACACGAGAGCACCTGTATGTGTGCTTGTGAACTAAAAACAGAAATACGACGTACTGAAGGAATTCCCTGCATGCAGAGGTACATATTCAACTATTGAGTTATAGGGCCTTCTCCATTTTTATGGATTTTTAACCCCTAAGCACTAATGTTTTTCAAACTCTGTATGGAAAAAAAAATGCAGCTGCCTGCCTTTCACGGCTGTGCATGCGGCTGTTGCCTCCAAAGCCCAGTTCCTCACTATGGTCAGTATTGCCACAAAAGCATTTTGTGGTTCTGCATCAGAGAATCCTTGACTTTTCTTGTTGTTCCAGTTTATACTGCAGTGTTGCACCATCTGCGCTAGTCATCAATTTTTTTTTTACACATTACCACATAACAGAAGGACTATCTGTACCTGGATAAGGAGCTCTGAAAGAAAGGAATGCACTGTCACCTCTCTCTGTTTAACTGTGATATTGTACATTGCAGATTTCCCACAAGTTAAGCTGGACAGTGCCAGGACAAGTCATGTTTTGTGTAGATAATGAGCACTCATCTATTTTTTCCAGCAGTACAAGGAACATGGGACATGGTGGAGAGCCCACCTGTATTCTCCCTGAGAAAATAGCTGTTGTGCTGCAGGCATTTCTTCAGTATTTTCTGCCGGGATGTTTTCCAAAGTCCCAAGACACCTGGCCTTGAGCCAAATAATTAGTCACAAAACATTGCCACCATTCTCACTGGGAGTGTTAAAACCTAGGAAAGCCCGATAAATGTTGTATGTTAGGGGTTCACACTGCACACCCTACATCTTCCAGGCTAAGATGCCTGCTGATGCTCCCATGCTCAAGGATAAAACCACACACCAACCTTGGATCAGATCTTCCATTTTGGTCTCCTTGTTGTTGTGATAATAATAATAGTTGTAATCGTAGTAGTGGTAGCAATGAAGATGATGACAGATCTTCACTTTTCTTTCTTCTTTTTTTTTCCTCTGTAGCTCTCTGTGAATAACAAGCCTGCAAATGCCGAGGGGCAAGGGCAACTGGGAGATGCAAAAAAAGAGGACAATGCCACTGTCCCCTCGGCACCTCCTACCTATGAAGAGGCAACTTCAGCAGAAGGGATGAAATCGGGGGCATTCCCTCCACCACTGAATGTTCCTCTCCACCCCAACTGGGCCTACGTGGATCCCAGTAAGTTTTCTCTCCCTCCCTCTCTGCATTTTTTTTTTAAATAATGATTTGAAACTGATGTCTTTTTATGTGAATCATTGTGGTAGAAGAATGGTAGGCCTGAAATTCAAGGTCAGTTTCAAAGGACCTTCCCTCTCTGAGAATCCATTTTCTGCAACAGACACAGATGCCTTCTCCTCTGAGTACTGAGTACTACCATTGCAGAGTGTCCTCAGGTATCCTCTCTTTGTCAGCAATTATGAAGAGGAGTGGGATAAAAACATTTCTCTTGCCTTCCAAAGAGGTCCCTAAACTATTAAAGCAGAATGGGCAAGGATGGCCCACTAACTGCATTTTTGGAGCCCCAAAGATACTCCAACCCAATCAATCCATGATTTGATTAAAATGTATCACCAAATAAACGTCATAACAGGACATCAAATCCTGGGTGAGAGCTGCTTGTAAACCATGGTTTATTAGAGGATGCTGATCTAAACATCCTACTAAGTCATGGTTTGGTATCAACATGTGAACCATTTTCTGAGATGTTGTTGTTGTTTAATCGTTAAGTCGTGTCCAGCTCTTCATGACCCCATGGACCAGAACACGCCAGGCCCTCCTGTCTTCCACTGCCTCCCGGTGTTTGGCCAGTTCCACTGCCTCCCGGAGTTTGGCCAGATTGGTTTGGCCATGTTGGTTGCTTCGAAGACACTGTCCAACCATCTCATCCTCTGTTGTCCCCTTCTCCTCTTGCCTTCACTCTTTCCCAACATCAGGGTCTTTTCCAGGGTGCTTTTTCTTCTCATGAAATAGCCAAAGTATTGGAGCCTCAGCTTCAGGATCTGTCCTTCCAGTGAGCACTCAGAGTTGATTTTCTTCAGAATGGATAGTTTGTTCTCCTTGCAGTCCAGGGATCTCAAGAGTCCTCTCCAGCATCACAATTAGAAAGCATAATTTATTTACAAATTGAATAATGTAGGAACGTCAGTGCAAGAGGTTTTATCATTTTAATTGGGTATACAGTGGTGCCTCGCTTAACGAGCGCCCTGTTTAACGATGAATCCACATAGCGATGGAGTATTTGCGATCGCATTGCAATGTTTTAAATGGGGGGAAATCGCTTTGCGATGATCATGGGGAAGCGCTTCCCTACATCATCCCAAAGGCCCCACCAAAAGAGAGCCCCGAAGCACAGCTGATGGGCAGGGGGTTTGCAAAGATCGCGGGGAAGCACCCTGCCTGTGGCGGCGTGGTGCCTCAGTCTCCCTGCCCAGGCTGGACCTGCAAGGGGAGAGAGAGAGAGAGAGTGTGCGGGGTTTGCGAAGCTGGCTTCCCTGAGATCTTTGCAAACACCCGCCTATCAGCTGTGCTTCGGGCTGGCTCTGTGCTTAAGGATTGCCAAATAGAGGAGTTGAAGCAAAGGCCCAAGAGTAGGGGAGGCTCCATCTGCTGCCTGAAGGTTCCAATCCTGTGTCATCACAATGATTTGGTGAAGAAGGGCCAAACCAGCCTTACAGCCTTGCTCTTCCCTGTTTCTCCTTGTTGCTGGAGGCTGCAGGAGACAATGGAGAAATTTTACATCCGTAAAAGCAACATAAAGATGGAATCTCTAAAGAAATACAGTACATGTAAATGATCAAGAAAGCAATGTTTACCTTAGATTTTAGTATCGAAATAGGGAGTTGGAAGGGGTTAGAAAGAAAGGCGGATGGAGTGATTGCTGAATGGTCAGTAGCTGAAAATGTTTAATGATTTTTTTTAACTGTAAGATTTCATCTCCTTGATTGTTTTCGAGATTGTAATGCAATTTAACTAATAATGAATTTGCAGGAGATTGATATGGAAATAATGGCGCAGAGTAATATGATCTCGTTATTGGCAAATTGGGGTTATGGTAAAAAAAACAGGGCAACAGGAACACCACTAAAACAAAGAGCTATTATTTTCTCCACTGTCAACAGATTTCATGTTTATTGATCCAGCTGTTCCCAGAAGACAAATCATATCAAGCATTTCTGTGGGAGTATCATAGCCCCAAATGTCTAGCTCTGGCTACCTGATTAGGCTGCAGTCTTGGCATTAGGAGTGGCCCTGCTCGACTCCCTCATGGAGTCATCAGAGAGGGTGAAAGGAAGGTCTTCTGGCTTCTGCCCTGATGGCCTCCTGGCCTGTTTGAGGTACTGGAGAAATATGCTTACCGAAACGGCATTCCCTATGAAGGAGAGAACCCACACATGCTTATATAACATCTAAATCTCCTGGAGCCTTTATGGTTAGCATGCCATAGCCTTCCTTGCCAAAATGAAAGCCCTACCCCCAGGCCCAGATGATGGTTCCATGTGGGAAGTCAGAGTGGGCATCTGCTTGAACCATCTCCTGTTGTCCATTTCTGCATGAAGGAGAGTCTGAAGAGGAGGCAGCCTGTTACACCTGGAGTCTCTCCATGTGAGCAGCGATGCTGCCGTTTCAGGAAGCCCAGCTACATGGAGAGAGTGCCTAGGTAGCAAAACCTTTTCTTTTCAAAGAGTCCCTTTCCCTGTAGAGATGGGGCCAGGCATGGGACGGCGCTCTCCTTCCTCATGCTTTCAAATCAGCACCTTTTTGAACACCTGATTTAGACCCCCCCCACACACACACATAATGATTCTAACAACAGAGTACTGTATTCCATAACTTAGGAGAGGCTGCAGTTCCAGGCTAGTCCTTTTCAGGGGACAGCATCGAGAGCCTGTCCTGAAAGAGGAGGTGCCCATCTTCAAAAACTGCCGAGTGTAGGGGGTCGTGCTTTTTCTACATAGTGTAACAGCATCTTGGGAGGGTTCCAGATCCAGCCAGAAGAGTAATACTTCGGGCTGGCTCTGAAAATCCTTTGATGGAATCCAAGCCACCGCAGTTTTTAGCCTTTCTAAGTATAATTCAGCCTTGCTGGTGAAATGTGATTCTGTAACATGCTGTTGCTCGCAGGTGGATTGCAACAGGCCGGCTCTCTTCTCCGCCGCTTGCCTAGGGGCTGAGTGTAATATTGCCGAGAATGTTGTCATTTGAATTGTGTCTGTGATGTCACTGAAGATAAGTGATACCATTCTCCACTCTGTATTTACACCTTTGGTTCTGTTTTGCATTTTAAAGGAAGGGCTGTGCTTTTAGCATCTTTTTCTTTTTTTTAAAGTACAGATTGGGCAGCTTTTCTGCTTAGCCATGTGGATATTCTTGTTAAAGCCAAAAACATAAATCCTTGCCTGCTTGAACAACATCACCTAATCTTGGGAAAGTTAGTTTTTTGGACTATAGCTCCCAGAATCCCATAGCCATTGTCATCACCAGATGCAGGAATGTCTTGTCAGTTCAAGACCTTTTCTTGTATACTGTTTCATGTTTTGTAAAAGATCCCTGCCATCTCTCTCCCATTTTCATCTTTGATCACAGAGATAGATGGCCCTTTCTTTGCAACAAGGGGTGGGTAATGCCAACAAGGCTGAGAGTCATTTTTCAGCTGCCAAAGGGCTGCATTCCCAATAGGGAAGGGGGAGAGGTGTGACCGAATAAGCTAATGTGCATAGATGTGGGGTTTTTTTGAGGGGGGGACTTGAAACTACCCCTCTGCCACACATCTATATCAAGAGAAGGCTCTGTAGGTCTTCGTTGCAAAGTGAGGGACACTGGTACTCTCCTTTACCTGTACCTTCTTTGCTCATTTTGGAACGACTCATTCTGGACCTTATTGTGCCTGTTTTGCTCAGCTCAATAAAGTGCCTTGTGTTCCAAGGCTGCTGATGGCATGCTGGGTGCAATTATTCATGCCATGTGCAGAAACATGGCGGAGGCTACCCCCTCTCTCATTGAAGAATTCTCTCTGGCTGTTCCTGTTGTGTGCCATCAAGTGTTTCCAACTTACAGCAACCATAATAGGAATGGTTGACCATCACCAGTGTTTCCAACTTACAGCAACCATAATAGGGTATGTTTAAAGGAATGGTTGACCATCACTGTTTCCCCAATAAGTTTTCGTGGCTGAATAAGAATTTAAACCCACTTTACCTGAGTCCTAATCCAGAACACTGGCTTTTCCATTACACAAGCTTTGGATGCTCTTTTGATCAAAATGCACAATCATTTGCTTTGTGGAAGTGTTGCACGATTTCATTTAGGGGTAGGTTTTTCTTGGTGGCCAGCATGGAGACACTCTGGGGGTCGTCACAGAACTAGAGCAAGACATTTCCATACCTGAGGCAGAACATCTCAACATTGGCTCTAGTGGAGTATATTTGAATAGGAGAATATGCTACCGTGTTTTCCCGAAAATATTAATTTTTGCTTCAAAAATGTATTGGGGCTTATTTTCAGAGGATGTTTTATTTTGCAGTTATGACATCTTCTTTTGGTTGCTGCACAATGCTGTACAGTGGTGGAGGGCGGGGTTTCACTTAACTGGGGCTTATTTGGGGGTTAGGGCTTATATTACAAGCGTCCTAAAAATCATACTAGGGCTTATTTTCAGGTTAGGTCTTGTTTTCGGGAAAACAGGGTAGATCACTGCCAGTTTGCTACTATAACCCTTAATGATTCAGAGTAGGCCTTCCTCATATTAAACTGGCCTTGGATAGACATTTTGTTGTGTTTGTGTTTTGTTATTTGCTTTAATCCCTTAGGCTGAAGTGAGTTACCAAACATAAACATACAGGACCTCTGTTTTTTATTTTATTTTATTTTAATTTTTGCCAGATAGATCCCATTTTACTTTGTGAAAATGATAAGAGGCCTGGTTTTCACATTCTCCGTTCTCTCACTTAACCCGCAATTTAGGGCTTTATTGGCTGTAACAAAAAATATGTTATGGCTTTTGTACAACCTCCAAGGTACTTCTCACACTTAGGAATACGCAGCACTGGGGGAGGGGGAAGAGTTTTTGTATGATTCTTTGTGGGAAACAGCAGCTTTAGCGACTGAGTGACGTTGGAAAAACATCCCTAAAGACTGGCCATAAGTTTGAAAAGGTATTTGAGCACTAATCAGCCCCAGAG